AAATAGTTTTTTTTATTTTTATTTTTATTTTTTATCCTCACCCGAGGATATTTTTCCATTTTTTGTACAGATAGAGTGGGAGGGAGAGAGAGGAAGGGAGAGAGAGAAAGATCGACGTGAAGGGACACATCGAGTGGCTGCCACCCGCACGACCAACCAGGGCTGGGGACAAACTGCAACCGAAGTACGTGCCCTTAGCGGGAACCGAACCCGGTCTCTCCGGACCGCAGGCCGACGCTCTAACCGCTGAGCCAAACTGGCCGGGCTGCTTCCTTATATTTCAAATCGATGGTTTGCTTCTTGGCTTCACCTACTCTACAATTGATTCCCTATAAATTATTCTTTATTTCAGTTAGTTTATCCCTCCTTTCTGACTACTTCTTTTTATGCTCTTGAGGTTCTCACTAAGTTCTTTGAAATTTTCATTACTTCATTGAGCATCCTTATAACCAGTGTTTTGATTCTGCATCTATTAGATTGTTTATCTTCATTTAGTTTAGTTCTTTTCCTGGGGTTTCGCTTTGTTCTTCTATTTGGGACATGTTTATTTGCTCCCTCATTTTGGCTGCCTCCCTGTGTTTGTTTCTAAGTATGAGGTAGAGTTGCTATATTTCCTAGGCTTCTTAGGGTGGTCTATTGTAGTAGGTGTCCTGTGGGGCCAGTGACACCACCTTCCTGGTCACCCCAGCTGGGCCCTCGAGATACACCCTTCATGTAAACTGTCCACTTTTCTGATGTAATTGAGTCTTGATTGTTGTTGGCACATCAATGGGAGGGATTTACTCAGGCTGATCAGCTGCAAGGACTGACTGTGCCCACTGACCACTGGTCTCTGACTACCTTGGAGGATCAGCTCTGCAGGGCCCACCATACAGAGCTAGACTTAGTTTAGCAGGGTTTTGTTATCCACTGAGTCCACTCTTTGAGTGTGTTGCCTGTGGAGGTAGTTGGGTGGTGGTGCTTTGACATGGTCTGAAGCTGTCCACTGGGTGTACTGGCTCTGGGGCAAGGCCAGGCACTGCCTGTGTTCTACCCAGGGCCACCAGGCATCAGCTACAAAGCAATCTGCAGATGGCTGCTTCTTGTGCGAGGCTTGGAGGTGCCCAGGCAAAGCCAATCAGTGAACCAAGGCTGGCTGCTCCTAGTGCCAGGCCTCAGGCCACTTAGCAATAGGTATGGGGCTTGCTTAGGCCAGGTACTGTTTGTTTGAGAGAATTTGGGAAAATGGGAAGCAGCATCCAAGACTGGCCATTCCTATGGTAACGCCACTGGAAACAGCTTGGGTGGGCCTGAAAGTTGGGTGGGGCAGGGCCTGAGGGGATCACCAGGGTGGAGCAAACAGTGTGAGCCAAGTTGCTGGAGTCCCAGATATGGCGGCCCTATGCCAGCCCTGTGGGGAAGGGCTCACCAAAGGAACAATGGCCTCTGCCAACACATCTGTCCGGGAGAAAGCTGCCTCTCCAGCCCTTGCCCCAGTGCCAAACAATTCATTTCTTCTTGGTATATCTTTGGTGCTTTTCAAGTTGCCTCCCCCATGGTGGAGCCTGGAGCGTGGGAATCTGAGTAAGTTCATGCATGGCCCTTTAAGAGGAGCTTACTGGTACTCCAGCAGCCTCAGCCTTACTCAGCCTCAGTTCCTGCTGGTTTTTACAGCCAGAAATGATGGGGACTTCTCTTCCTAGCACTGAACCCCTGAGCTGGGGGTCCTGGTGTGTGACAGGGACCCCTCACTCCTCAGGGAGGACCTTTTCAGCTGAGGTGTCCTCCTAATTTTTATCCTCCACATGTTGGTTTGGAACCAGCTCATTGGAGACTGCACCCCTCTTATCAGTCTCGATGTGGCTTCTCCTTTAATTTCGTAGCTGTAGGACTTCCATTTAGCTCGATTTCAGAGGGTTCTGAAGGATGTTTGTTCTGCAGTTCAGTTGTAATGTTGATGTGGTTGTGGGAGGAGGTAAGTACCGCATTTACCTACGCCGCCATCTTGACCGGAAGTTCCCGGAATATTTCTTTTCTCTCTCTCCTGTCTTGTATTGTTTCTACTGAGAAATCTGAGGATGATCTAATGGGGTTACCTTCATAGGTTTCAGTTTCCTTTGCCCTGGCTGCCTTGAGAATTCTCTTTTTGTAATTATTTTTTGACAGTTTAAATAAAATGTGTCTTGGAGATGGTTTTGTGCATAATTATAATTAAGTTTTTTTGTTAGTTTCATCTATTCTAAAGTCCATTTATTTCCATAGGCTTGAGAAGTTCTCATCAACTATTTCTTTGAGTAGGTTCTCTGTTCCTTTCTCCCTCTCTTCTCCTGCTGGTATACCTATTATCCTTAGGTTGTTCTTTCTAATGTAGTCAGACAGTTCTCATAGACTTCTTTCTTTCTTTCTCTTTTATAAACTATTAGTTCTCTCTTCTTCTTCCTCCTGGGTCATGTCTAGGTTTCTATCATTGAGTTCATGAATTCTCTTGTCCATCTGGTCTGCTCTATTTCCAACGCTCTCTGATGCTTTCTCATCACATTTATGAAGTCTTTCAGCTCCAGAATTTATGTGTGTGTGTTTTAAATAGTTTCAGTTGTTGGTAAAGTACTTCTTTTGTTCATTCATTTTATTATTGAGATCACTGAACTGCCTTTCTGAGTTTTCTTGTATATTGTAGTTTCTTCAAAACTTGAATCCTCTGACATTTACATTATAGTCTTCAGTGACATTGTGTTTTGTTTCATATTCTTTCTGTGCATCCAGGTTACCTTGGTTGTTCATGGTATTTGATTGTTTCTGTGTCTGCATAGTGTTACTGTGTGAATGCTGTTTTACTTTGCATAATTCTGCAGGTTGGTAGGTAGGGTACTTTCTTTTGTTTTCCAGTAGATGGTGCTATAGTGCAAGTTTGTGTTTTCTCTAAATTATTTGTGTTTCTGGGATTAGTGGTAGAGCAGCATTGTTTCAGTTGAGGAAGTGCCCTGTACCCCCTTGGTTATGGGGCACCACCCATGTGGTGGGGGAATGTGGCAGGTGGTGGAGAACCTATTTGGCAAGCTTCCAGAGTGACCTCCTCTTTCTGCTGTGTTTTTGGCTTTACCAGGCTCAGCCAGGGCATGTCGGGGAGTGGAGGAAAGTTCATGACCCCACATGGCTCTGACCCTCTGCAGTAATGGCTGTGAGCACAACTGTTTTGTTTAAAGCTTTCCAGCCACTTCTTCCAGGGTCTGCAGATGCCTTTTCTGGAAGAGAAACTGCTTCTGTCTCTCTTATACTCCAGCCACCCCGCCCCTCCATTCCCACTGGAGCCATGGTGGGTGCCCAGCTGCATCTCTGGCCGTGGTCCTTGTCCTTTCCCTCATCCCGCTTCCCCTACTCATTCCAATATTCCCACCGTTAGATGTCCCAAAGGGTGGACAGGGATCTTTTGTTGAGTTATAGCTGTCTGACTTGTACATTTAAGGGGAGAAACAATGAGCCTGCCATGATTGCTGATGTCACCTCTACTTCTTGATTAAAAAAAAATTTTAATGATAACCATTCTTACAGGTGTTAGGTAATACCTCGTTGTGGTTTTGATTTCCAATTCCCTAGTGATTGGTGATATTGAGCATCTTTTCATATGTCTGTTAGCCATCTGTATGTATTTTAAATACATTTTTGTTTTTATTTATTTATTTATATCTTTATTGTTGAAAGTATTACAGATGACCCCCTCCCTTTTCCCCCATTGACTCCTTCTCCCTGCTCCCACCCCTCTCCTGCTTTCCCCAAACTGTTGTCCGTGTGCATTGGTTGTGCATATATGCATATAAGTTCTTTGGTTTATCTCTTCCCAATCCCTTCACCCCCTTCCTTCTGTTCCCTGCTTCCATGTCTCTGGATCTATTTTCATCGACAGCTTATTTTGTTCATGATATTCCATAAGAGTTCCTTATATATTTTGGATATTAAAGCCCTTATCAGGTATATTGTTTGCTAATATCTTCTCCCACTCAATAAGTTGGTTGTCTTTTTATTTTGTTGATAGTTTCCTTCACTGTCCAAAAACTCTTAGTTTGATGTAGTCCATTTGTTAATTTTTTCTTTTGTTGCCCTTGTCTGAGGAGACACGTCCAAAAATATATTACTAAGACTGATGTCATAGAGTTTACTGCCTGCATTTTCTTCTAGGAGTTATATGATTTCAGGTCTTACATTTAAATCTTTAATCCATTTTTAGTTTATTTTGGATATGGTGTAAGAATTTTTTGCATGGATCTGTCCAGTTTTCCCAACACCACTTATTGAAGAGACTGTCTTTACCTCATTGTATATGCTTGTTTTCTTTGTCATAGATTAATTGATCATATAAATGAGGGTTTATTTCTGGGCTTTCTATTCTATTCCATTGCTCTATATATCTGTTTTTAGGCCAGCATTTTACTGTTTTGATTATTGTAATTTTGTAGTATAGTTTGAAGTCAATGAGCATGCCACTTTGTTTTTTCTCAAAATTTCTTTGACTATTTGGGATCTTTTGTAGTTCTATATAACTTTTTAGGATTAGTTGTTCTAGTTCTGAAAAGAATGTTATTGATGTTTTTATAGGGATTGCAATGAATCTGTATATTGCTTTAGGTAGTTAGGACATTTAAACATTGTTGATCCTCTCAATCCATGAGCACAGTATATCCTTCCATTTATTTGTATCCTATTCAGTTTCTTTCTTCAAAGTTTTATAGTTTTCAGAGTACAGGTTAGATTTGGTTAGGTTTATTCCTAGGTATTTTATGTTTTTGATGCAATTATAAGTGGGATTATTTCCTTAATTTTTCCTTGTGATTATTTATTATTGGTTTATAGAAACACAACAGATTTCTGTACGTTGATTTTACGTTGTGCTACTTTACTGAATTTATTGGTTATAATAGTTTTGTTGTGTGTGTGGAGTCTTTAGGGTTTTCTATATATAGTATCATGTCATCAGCAAATAGTGCAAGTTTTACTTCTTTTCCTATTTTGATGCCTTTTTTCATCCCCAGGGGAGAGTGTGAATGCAGTCCCCCCACTACCACAAATTATGCAGTTGAGTTTCCCACATTTGGGGACATCACAGCGGTCGGAACACCCAGAGTGCAATGAATAAGCTCGCCCTGGGAAAGCCGCCTTTGGAATCATGCTATCTCCCCTGCCCGGTAAGTATTTATTTTGATGCCTTTTATTTCTTTTTCTTGCCTGATTTCTGTGGCTATAAGTATGTTTATATTATAGTATTTTATATTATTGCTGAATCCGTTTGGTAAGTTGAGAATTTTTGCATCTATTTTCATCAAGGATGTTGGCTGTAATTTTTTTCCCCAGTGATACCCTCCTCCGCATCCCCTGGAAGCATTCTTTCCTCTTTGATTTTTTTGAAATAGTTTAAGAAAGATAGGTATTAATCTTCTTTAAATATTTGGTAGAATTTACCTGTGAAATCATGTGGGCCTATACTTTTATTTGTTGGGAGTTTTTATTATGCTTCAAAATCATGACTAGTAATTAGTCTGTTTAGATTTTCTATTTCTTCTTGGTTCAGTCTTGGAAGGGTGTATGCATCTAGAAATTTTCCATTTTTTTTTTTTTTTTTTAATCCTCACCTGAGGATATTTTTTCCATTTTTTTTGTACAGATAGAGTGGGAGGGAGAGAGAGGAAGGGAGAGAGAGAGAGAAACATCGACGTGAAAGGGACACATCAAGTGGCTGCCACCCGCACCACCAACCAAGGCGGGGAAAAACTGCAACCGAAGTACGTGCCCCCAGCGGGAACCGAACCCGGGTCTCTCCGGACCGCAGGCCGACGCTCTAACCGCTGAGCCAAACCGGCCAGGGCCCATTTTTTTTCTGAATTGTTAAATTTTTTGGCACATAATTGTTCACAGTATTCTTTAATGATTTTTTGTATTTCATCTGTGATGTTGGTTGTAAATTCTCTTTCATTTATGATTGCATTTATTTGTGCTCTCTCACTCCATTTTTCTTTTTACAAAAATTACCTATTAGTTATTGATTGATTTTAGAGAGAGAGAGGGAGGGAGAAAGAGAGAGAGAGAGAAACGTTGATTTCTTGTTCCACTTATTTATACATTCACTGGTTGATTCTTGTATGTGCCCTGACCTGGAATCAAACTCGCAATGTTGGCGTATGGGACGACACTCAAACCAACTGAGCTGCCTGGCCAGGGCCTTCATTTTTCTTGATGAGTTTGGCTAAAGGTTTATCAATTTTGTGTATCTTTTCAAAGAACCAGAGTTTGATTTTATTTATTTATTTTTTCTATTGTGTATTAAAATTTTTCTATCTTGTTTATTTCCACTCTGATCTTAATTATTTCCTTCCTTCTGTTTACTCTCGGTTTTGTTTGTTCTTCTTTTTCTAGTTCCTTTAGTGTAAAGTTATATTTTTTATAGCAGATTTTTAGAGGTAGGCCTATATAGCTATGAACTTCCCTCTTAAAGCTGCTTTTGTTGCATCCCATAAATTTTGAAAAGTAGTGTATTTATTTTCATTTGTCTCAAGGTAGTTTTTTTGTGTTCTGTTTGATTTCCTCCTTGATCCCTTGATTGTTTAGTACCATGTTGTTCAGTCTCCATGTATTTGTGTTTTTTTCTAGTTTTCTTCCTATAATTGACTTCTAGTTTCATGCCATTGCGTTTAGAAAAGATGCTTGATATGAATTCAGTCTTCCTGAATTTACTGAGGCTTGTTTTGTGGCCTAATATGTGATTTATCCTAGAGAATGTTCCATGCGCACTTAAAAAATATTGATTACGCAGTTTTTGGATGAAGGGTTCTATCAATATCTATTAAGTTGGTCTAGCCTAATGAGACATTTAAGGCCATTCTTTCTGTATTAATTTTCTGTCTGGATGATCTATCATTGATGTGAGTGGGGTATTAAAATTCCCTATGATTATTGATTTACTGTGATTTTCTCAGTATATGTCCATAATATTTGTTTTATGTAATTATTTGCTACTGTGTTGGTTGTGTAGATATTTATGACTGTTATATTCTCTTATTGGCTTGACCCTTTATAAGTCTGTAATGTCCTTCTCTCTCCCTCTCTTTTTTACATTCTTTGTTTTAAAGACTGTTTTGTCTGATATGAGTATCGCTACCCCAGCTTTCTTCCATTTCCATTTACATGGAATATTTTTTTCTATCCCTTCAGTTCAGTCTGTACGAGTCTTTTGATTTGAAGTGAGTCTCTTGTTAGCAGCACATAGATGGGGAATGTTTTTAAAATCCATTCAGCCATGTCTTTGTATTGGAATGTTGACTCCATTTACACTTAAAGTAATTAGTGGTAAGTGTGTACTCTTTGCCATTTTGTTTTGTTTTGTTTTTTGGTTGTTTTGTATTCCTCATCTGTTTCTTTCTTCTTCTCTTAATCTCTTCCCTTGTGGTTTGTGGTTTTCTTTAGTGATTTATCTGGATTCTTTTCTCTTTATTCTTTGTGAATCTTTTACGGTTTTTGGTTACCATGTGGTTTATGTATTTCATTCTATATCTATAGCAGTCTATTTTTTTTTTTAATCCTCACCCGAGGACATTTTTTCATTTTTTGTTCAGATAGAGTGGGAGGGAGGGAGAGAGAGAGAGAGAGAGAGAGAGAGAGAGAGAGAAACATCGACGTAAGAGGGACACATTGAGTGGTTGCCACCTACACAACCCAACCAGGGCCGGGGACAAACTGCAACCGAGGTACATGCCCTTAGCAAGAACCAAACCCAGGTCTCTCTGGACTGCAGGCTGACGCTCTAACTGTTGAGCCAAACCGGCCAGGGCTCTGTGAATTCTTTATCAGGTAAACTACTTATCTTCATAAGGCAGTGGTTCCCAACCTTCCTAATGCCGCAGCCCTTCAATACAGTTCTTCATGTTGTCGTGACCCCCGACCATAAAATTATTTTCGTTGCTACTTCGTAACTGTAATTTTGCTACTGTTATGTCTTGGGTGACCCCTGTGAAAGGGTCGTTCGAGCCCCAAAGGGGTCATGACCCACAGGTCGAGAGGCGCTGCCATGAGGGTTCTATTACAGAAATTCTTCTTGTTCCTTCATTTGAGAGATACTCTTCTATCTTTTCATTTTGTTTAACTTCTATGTTTGTTTATATGAATTAGATAAAATTGCTATCTTCCAATATCGAAAAAGCAGCCTTGTGTAGAAGCAACCTCTATGTAGGCTGTGTCTGCGGGCATTTGGCAGGCCAGTGGGGCTGAGTGGGTGGCTGTCGTGTCTGGGGGCCTGGCCCCCCGAGCTGGACTGACTGGGCGGGGAGTCCAGGTTCTCACATGATTGCCCTGCTCATACCATTTACTCCCTTTGTTCAAACCGAAATGGGCTCGGGCGACGTGTCCAGGGATGCACTGTGGCGGCCTGCGGGCAGCTGGAGCATCTGGATAAAGCCCCCCCCGCCCTGTCCAGGCGGAGGGGCCCAAACCACCGTGCTCACTGGCACCTATGACCTGGAGAATCCCCACGGTTCTGGAGAGCTCCGTGGCGCCCTAGGGCCAGGCGATCTGTAGGTGACCCCTGGACAGTAGTTGTAAACCTTGGGACTCCAGATAAGTGTGTAAGGTCCTTTCTGGGAGATGCCAGTGAACCCTGGCGAGGCAGAAGCGGGGTGCGAAGATGGCGTCGCTGGCCTAGGTCCTGTGAGAGCGGTTCTCTAGGCCTTTAAATGTGTCCCAAACCTGAAGCCTGCCGCCAAGGCCACAAAACCCCAGGACAAGCAGACAGGTCTCTTACAGAAAGGCTGGGGTGTTTCAGTCTGCTGTCCGTGTGGTGCCCTAGGGGCCAGGGCCTGCCGAGAACGGTCTCTCCAGTTGCCACTCCACAGGCCCTCCGGGCCACCAGAGCAAGGTGATCAACGACTTACCCTGGAAGCAGCCACACTGAGTGGGAACCAGATGCAGGCAAGTGTCTGGAGAGATGCTGGGGCAAGGCAGAGGCGTGGAAGTCAGTGCCTGCCATGTGAGGTGTCAGGGAAGGCGCGCCGTCAGCCCCTAGAGGTGTGTTTACCCAGAGTCCTGCCCCAGGCTGCAGCTCGGCGGAGAGCTACTCGCTGCTCATGGAACCTGTGTTCCCGGGTCTGTTGCCTCTTGACGTGACCAGGGGTGGATACGGTTTAAGAACTACTTCTCTATTGATTACAGTCCTGTGGGATCTGGGGATATCAGCCTTCTAACTACCAGAGCCAGGTGATAAAAAGGTGTTCCTGGTGGCAGCTGCAAAAATCAGGGCACCAGATGAGGCTGTAAGCTACTTTCTGGGCCATATCAAGGAGCCTGGCCGAGGGCTAGCTCAACATGGTGTCCACCAGCCTCCTTCCCTAGAGCATCCCGGAGGCCCCAGGTGTGTGCTAAATCAGAGGCTTATCCCTGGGGCCACAGCTCCTGAACAAGAAGACAGGCCCCTTTCTCAGAAAGACTAGGGTGTGTTTCCGTCTGCTAGCTGTAGTGCCCTGGGGGTGGTCGTCTGCAAGAACTAGCTCTACGTTTGTTACAGCCCCACCCCTTCCTGGACTCCAGAGCCAGGTGCAGCAGGTGTAAAATCCGGGGCACCAACTGTAAAAAACAAAAGCTTCCTTCTAGGAGATACTGCCCTCTGGCATGTGCAGAGGGAGAGCGTGCAGATGGCATGTGGCAGCTGGAGCAAGGCAGGGGAACAGAAACCCCACACCCACCAGCCTTGGTCTCCAAGAGCACCCCAGCAGCCCCCAGGACGTGTGCCAAACCAGATGCCTGCCCCTCAGGCCAACACTCAGACCAGCAACTAAGCCTCTGTCACATATAGTCTTGGCATCTCTCAATTGGCCACTTTTTGCTGGGCACTGGGGTGGGTGAGTCTAGTGCATGAACCCTGTAAGAGCAGTTTCTTGGTTCACTGTAGCCTTGTATATCTCATGGACTCAAACACTGTTGGTTTCCAAAGCTAGATGTTTTGGGAGCTAGTCTCTCAAGTGCAGGTTTTAAAAGTTGGGGTGGTGCCCAATATGAAGTTCAAACTTCTCCTCAGGGAGAAGCCCCAGGTTTTGAGTTCCCTCTCAACTGTATGTCGCTGTGACCAGGGTGGGGCTTAAGACAAGATTGTGTCTCAGCCTCTGTCACACCCTTTGATGTGGTCTCCTTCTCGCTTGCCCATTGTATAGGAGT